ATTCCTAACTCGTTCGGACTCGTTCGATTAGTCAGCAGAAGCCACAAAAGCCATATGAACTTATCATTAAGGCAAGACAAGATCTGTTAATTTTCTAAGCTTATACCAAGCTGCAGTTGTGAGGGGAAGCCTTATGAGTAAATGAGAGGGTAGAGAAAACAGGAAGTTTTGGCTGAGCACTGCACCTTCTGGGAATTGGGGTCAAATGCAAAGTTGTTAAATGTGATGCCACTTTCTGATAGTAATGGGGTCATCATAGATGACATCAGGAGCTTGCCTGCATGCAACAATGGACACAGAAAACGGATCCACTCACCAATCACCAACCACAACAGTCAGACAACGGTTTCAGCCCCATCCTTCAGATGGTCTCCTCATGTCTACTATTTGGTGCAGGAGGGCTTGGCATCTGACAGTCAGCTGAGAAATATTTGCAGTCTGTCCACCAGTACCCCTGGAGCTGTGAGACAGGAGAAGCTTAGTGAAAGGAACAATGCCAATGCATTTGGTTAGAGCACTTGAATCAAACCAACCCCCACTGGTTCCCACCTAAATTGTCAAACCTTCTTTTTTTGAAACAAATGAATTGAACCGACCGCACCACGAGCGTACATCGAAAGTGTGGCCCACTTGTATACCGCCTTAAGTGTTAGAGGAGGGGGCTCGTACTTGTGGTTTAATGACGAACCAGGGCACCAGGGCCCTTTTCACATGGTTGGCATTGTCTTCGGAAATTGCGGGAAAGCAGTGAAAGGAGAGGAAGGAGAGGAAGGAGAGGAAGGAGAGGAAGGGGATGGAAAGCATTTTAGGGATGAGGCAGGTTTTTCAGCCGTGAAAGTTCGGTGGTAAGGATGAACAGCGGCCTTCAAAATGACATTCTGTCAACGTCTAATCCTTGGGATATTGCTCCCAGCTGACAATGGAAGGGCACATGGAGGGTTGGCAGGTAGATCCGTTGGGCGACCAAGTTGCTTATCGGATGCATGGGCAATGGTCTTCAAGAGGTCACGTGTCCGTGTTGGATGAAGGGCGAGAGGACAATTACATGGGGATGACTTTTTTCCAGGTTTTGCAGAAAAGAACCAGCGATTCGGGTTAATTTTTCTTCACCCAGTTTAAATTTGCTTTTTGGAAAATCCAGACCAGATAACCTTTTGAATGGACGTTGGACCCAGTTTCGTGCATGATTCAACCTGGGTGGGGGCCATCGACTGCTCCTTGTAAAGGAGGATCGACTGTCGGGGAAGCCTTATTGTTTTTGGATTCCACAATCGGAACCGCCAGATTTTTATACTCTCCTTAAGGAGGAGGAGGAGCCTGCGGGTAAGATTAACAGCCCTAGGGCCCAGGTGACCATGGGGATGGAATGGTCGATACTCCAATCCGGCTTCTGACTAATGGTGTGGAGATTCTGGAGAACATAAGTTGCTAGTTGGTGGGGCCTTGGCAACAAACAATGCCATTTTGGCACCATGTAAGTAGTTGTTCGGCCTCTGAAACCAAAGCAGTTTGCATGGCTTAAGAAGGCGATTTCTGTCTTTTATGGAAGAGCGATCGTCTTGACTAGATGACCTGTTGCAGCTTCACTCACAAACAGAGACACGATGGCTGATGCATTGAGGTTGGCGGGAACTCACCCACGTCTCTCTCTCTCTCTCTCTCTCTCTCTCTCTCTCTCTCTCTCTCTCTCTCTCTCTCT